CCCTGTTGTGGATCAGCTTCTTTGACTTTATGACTTAAGGTAAAACTCAACACCTAACGGCTGGCTCAGTACCTGTTATCTATCTGACTCGTGGTGAGACACCACAGGATCTCACTATTAGGAACTCAGTAAGGAACACCCACAGAACACAAGAGAGATTAGGTTTTCTTCAGTTCACGCAGATCTATTTGCATCATAAAGTATACAAGTAAACCGAGCTGTCCGGAGTCAACTCACTTCACAATAGCATTGTACATTATTTTATACCTCCATCCTACCCTAAACCCCCCCCCTCGGAGATGTCCTCCTCGGAGATGTCCTCCTCCTCCTCTGAACTTTCTGAACTGAATCCGGTTGACAACTAACATACTAAATTTACTTTCTGTGGCCTTTTTAACTTCTACCCCTGCGGTTCTAGACTCTTTTAGATTGGGATTAGGTTTACCATGATAATGTTCTTTTAGATATAACTATAATTCCCGGGGCGAATATTGCTGGTTAGCCTCATCAGGCTCTTCGGTGAGCACAGTGGCTAGCTCTGATTCAGATTCAGCTCTCCCGACCCGATTCTTGGCATGTGTGCCATGTGCAAGAACACCGCACTTTGCCGTGGCACTTTCCAAATTGCTTTCTTTTGATGGTTGTAGAGACTTAGGGAGAGTCTTTCCGCATAAAAGCAAAATACGAATACCCTGTGCTTCCTCATGTGGTTGGAACTGCCATCTCTTTATGCCACCTCTTCCATCTTGCACACAGCACTGTGTGAATATACCAAAGCAAGAAAGTACATTTCAAGGTGAGGGAAATGCACATGTCTTATAGCTCAGTTTGCACCAGTCTTTATACTGGCATGAAACCAGATCCATTTAGAATTGAAATTCATGATGTGAGATATACATTTCACTTAAAATGTACATATTCCTGACTAATTGAAATGTATTCATAAACCTGGGGTGGTTTTTCTCACATTAACATACATTAAAATGAGCGTTCTGCAGTATGTTCTGCCAAGGGCCGCGTACTAACACGCCTTCCATGCTTTATCGGCACCTTCACACTGACCTCAGTAACTTCCCATGAAAAGGTGTCCAGTTAAACCGGACTTTGGAGCGTGGGTATTGAAATGCCTGGTTCATTCGTGCAGTCGGGACATAAGGGTACATTGGGTCCAGGTTGCTCCACCTGCTTCTAACCTTCAGCACATGTACATTATATCTCACATGGAACCTGTATACCACGTGCTGAACATTTGAAATTAAATTGAATACCAACAGTCTCCCTACTGTAAAAGTATTATCAGAATGTGTTTCTTCCACATGCATCAGTTGGTAGACAGTTAATGGACGTCTTCAAAGGATATTTTTGCAGGAAATAAGTTAAGACACAAAGTTTAGTTTGGTTATTTGTGAGGTTAAAGTATAGATTTAGGTTAAGAAAATTCAGAGACAGTATATCTGCTGTGGGAAACCAAACAACGTTTGTGTTGACTTTTCAGGAAAGTAGACTGTAGTCCAACAATACATTAGCATTTCTGTGTAAACACATTTAACAAGAGTGATCATAGGACTAATAATATTTCTCCCAAAACTGAACAACTGGGCAATGAGAGCCTCAATCAGAGAGGTCACAAAAAAATCTGAGGACCACTGACAGAACCACAGTTTGCTGAGATAGCACATTTTGAATGACAACAGTCAGAGCAGAACATGCTTGGCGACATGCTTGGCGACATATCAAAGTACTGAAAGACCTCCCTGCTTGGAAAACAGCAAAACTCCGAGAGCAAAACATTTATCTGGTACAATGGAAAATGTGACTGTTGTTGTAATCCAAAGCAGTCTGGAGGAAACAGACGGCTAACAACTAGTCGAACAACATTCCTGCTGTAAAGCATGAAGGTGGCCGTCTCATGCTGTGGGTGCTCTTTTCAGCACAGAGGGACACAGGATTTGTGAGGTTGGAGGAATTAAAGCAGCCAAATGGGAAGCCCTATGTTATGGTGAAAGTTTGTGTTCCCACATGAGGGATATACAGTCAAGAGAGTCTATGTTTATGAACCCAAAGTCTTTATTAATATAATTATAAACAAAGATCAGTTCTTTGACAGTGTTTATGTTGTGAGATGGAAGTGCAAGAGAAGCTTTTTGGGGGAAATAATTGTACACTGATTAGTGAGTGGATATACAGAGTGAAGTATTAAGCTTATTTGAGAGAAAGATATGAATCTAGATGGGGTGACCTCTTGGATGTTTACAATTTGTGAATAGAGAACTGCCAAGAGGAGGAGCTTACAGTAAATGATTGGATGGAAGTAGTCAATGAACAAGTAGAAGCAGAAGATTTAGGAATAAAATAGTCACCTCTGACTGCACTTACGCTAAGCTGCATATCAAATCAAAGCCCTGCCATATCACTGCAGTGGCTTCAGGACAAGGAAGTGACAGTCCTGGTATGACCCAGTAAAACCAGGTCTTGAATCCCTTTGGAAAATCTGTGGAAAGACCTCAGTATAGCTGCTCACAGACACTTCACTTTCAGATTGACTAAATCGGAGAAACTGTGCTCTGAAAAAAATAGGACAAAATCCATACTTCAAATGCTCCAGGCTGCTACAGACTCAGAGGTGTCATCACTGCCAACATTAATTAACTATTGACTAGGGTGGTTAAAACTCATTTGGATGTGATGCCTTTTATTGTCAGTGTATCCAAAATAGAAAGATAAAAACATTTTGTGTGATGGTATCTCCAAAAGAATAATCATCATATTCCATTTTAGAGATCATGCTGCAACACCATACATTGTGAGAAATGTTGAGCTGGCTTGAGACTGTCCAAATGCACTGGATATCGTTTTGTTCTCGTCAGTGAGTGTGTCAAAATGCTCAGACTTGTTAAAAATGTGGGATTGCAGACATGGAAAAGGGACACAGCACCAGGCCATATCTCTCCTCAAGCCAAATGAAAACTCAGAGTGATGCGTCAAACACAGGTCTAGTCACAGTGACAGAGACAGTGACAGAGACAGTCCGACAGTCAAAAGAGCCAGCTGCCTGTAGGCTTTTCCAGAAAGGACCTCGTCAAGGTTAACACTGAGTGACTTGAGTTTAAAATCAGGTAACAGGGTTGTTCGAGTAAAGAATAGCCAAGGGAGGGAAAGGGAACTCCGTAAAGATGACTGTTTGCATGTTGTGTCAACATCTTCTCTGAACATGGAAAATATATTCTCATTTGGCAGAATGCATAGAGATTCCCATGCAGCAGCCAGCCTTCATCTCTGCGCGCACACCTATTTACTTGTTTTTGTCAGCTGAATGAGAGATAATTAAAAAAAGCACGAAACTATATTAATAGTCGCACGTGATCCCTGGCAGTAGAATAGTTGCTATATTCTACGGGAGATAACGGGCCACAGCAGTGTGCTTCTAATGCTCAGGTGAGACTGACAGCTCTGCCTGCGGGTTGGGGGAGTGTGTCTGATACTGACAGACCAAATGTCAGTGCAGGAATGAAATTGCTCCGCAGTGATTGTAGAGATATACGATGTGCTTAGTTCCCATCTGACATGCAGTAAACGCATCTTGTCGTCCGTGACATGGTGTTTAACATCGGCAATCTGGATCTGGTCTTGTCATTAGGCCTCATAATATGGTACTCACTACTATACATAGAACACATTCCGCTGATATACAAGTGACAGCTGTGAAAATGGCTGTGTGGCTAGATGTTATGCTCCCACGACATCCTCACGACAGGCCGCTCAACGGTAAATAAAAGGAGACACAAAGCAGTGAGTGCTTACACTCACACACACACACACACACACACACAATGAGGAAGTTTCCACAGAGAGTAAAAGGATATTTGCTCCTTTGTCCTGTTCTGGTGCGTGTCGTGTATTTCATTTGAAAGAGGTTGGGGATCACAGCCGCTGACTGCAACCTCTCAGTGTGCAACAGTGTGTTCTCCGACAAGTCAAGTCAAATTTCCCATATTAGTTTTGGAACAACAAATACACTCGTGTGCCCTTGATTAGTGGTCGGCTTGTACATCATGTCCTTGCTGGCAATTAGACATATGCATTATTTAGTGACAGGGACCCCCCTCCCTTTTATTTATTTTTTTATCCCTTTCATTATTCACCAACATCTACAGGTGACAATTGAATGCAAGTACACACTCGCCAAATCACTGGGGTAAACTACCAAATATGTTTATGCATACACACAGGCGCACATATACATCAACAATACAAATTTAGATTGCATTCGCTCTCAATCGCTAGCCTTGAGGCCCTCTCCCTGTGGCTTACGTAATGAAGTAGGAACAAAAACAAATGGATGTCTCTAAAGGATTGAGCTGGTATTTTTGCATTTTTCAGCATATTTACAAATCATGTATACTTAAACTACTGCCAGACATTTCCAAATCATTACATAGTTTTTTTATGGATTTCCAAAGGACAGTCCTTCCTGCCAGACAGCTTTTACTTTGCTTTCAAAATCTCATTGCGTTTTTTTTAATTTTTATTTTTTAAATGAGGAGCCTTGAACCTAAAATTTTGATCACCACATGGAACATCATCAGTGTGATGGTTTCACATTTGTCAGAGTTATTGCTCCGTGGTAATGCAATTACCACTCCACTCCATTTCCCAAATTAGGAGTTTCTGGCTTGTATGGCAGTGAACCTTTACCCAAGCTTGAAATTGCCCCATCCGAAAAAACCTGTGTGGCATTACGGCTGTTTTTTTTATATGAATGTTTTTCTACTATATCCTCTTTTTCTACTATATGCTATAACAAGCTAAATACTGCACATTTTTCATTCAGGCAGATCATTCCAAAATGTTTCTGAATGAATAAGTTGGCACTCTCTCGGTACATCGCTCTCTCTCTCTCTTTGTTTTGTGAATTTGGGTGACCAATCTGCTGTGCTTCTGTTGTCAATGGCTCATGTGTCCTCCTTTGTGTCTCCTGTGGGTGTGTGTTTTGTCTCTAGGGAACATCTTTGTGGTGAGCCTGGCAGTGGCAGATCTTGTGGTGGCCATCTACCCGTACCCTCTGGTCCTCACCTCCATCTTCCACAATGGCTGGAACCTGGGTTACGTCCACTGCCAGATCAGTGGCTTCCTCATGGGCGTCAGCGTCATCGGCTCCATCTTCAACATCACCGGCATTGCCATCAACAGATACTGTTACATCTGCCACAGCCTCAAGTATGACAAACTGTACAGTGACAAAAACTCTGTCTGCTATGTGATGCTAATCTGGGCGCTGACTGTGGTCGCCATCGTGCCCAACCTGTTCGTGGGTTCACTCCAGTATGACCCACGGGTTTACTCCTGCACATTTGAGCAGTCAGCCAGCTCAGCGTACACTATCGCAGTGGTTTTCTTTCACTTCATTTTACCCATCATGATTGTCACATACTGCTACCTGCGCATTTGGATACTGGTCATACAGGTGCGGAGACGGGTCAAGCCAGACAACCGGCCCAAGCTGACGCAGCACGACGTCAGGAACTTTGTCACCATGTTCGTGGTGTTTGTGCTTTTCGCCGTTTGCTGGGCTCCGCTCAACTTCATCGGCCTGGCCGTAGCGATCAAACCAGAGGTGGTGGTTCCCCTCATCCCCGAGTGGTTATTCGTGGCCAGCTACTTCATGGCCTACTTCAACAGCTGCCTTAATGCCATTGTGTATGGTGTGCTGAACCAGAACTTCCGGCGTGAGTACAAACGCATTGTAGTGTCAGTGTGCACGGCACGCATCTTCTTTCAGGACAGCTCGAACGATGCAGTGGAGAGGCTCAAGAGCAAACCGTCACCACTCATCACCAACAACAACCAGGTCAAGGTGGACTCTGTCTGATCCAGAACTCCGAGAAAAAAAAGGAAGCAAACATGAAAAGATATGTAGTGACTGAGCGTAAAAAACAAAACAAAAAAAAGAGAAAAGTTGAGAAAAATACCAAATATGAATATAACACAGCTTCTATCCTCTGAGCTTAGTCATATGGTGCTATCTGACCTCTGAACAATCGGTAAAAGCAGGGGTGCATATTATCTTTGTCTTTTATCAAGCACTCCTGTTTGACTCTGCAGTACTTGTAGTACAGTAAATATATGATGTCTGTTTTGTTTTCATGTTTACAGTGATGATATAAATGTATCATGCATTATATAAGTATTTATTTTGTATGAAATGTTATGTTAAATGAAAACAACATTTTATCAAGCTAATAAAAAAAAAAAAAATCTACAAAAGTTGGTTAAAAACATAACCAGAAGTTTATAAATTTAACCAATTTTAATATTCTCATTTGTGACACTGTAACACTAATTGAGTGTAAGCAATGTGGGTTGCTGCTGTATTATTATACCCTGCAATACATTAAGTGGAATATATATTTGAGTCTCTCTCTCTCTCTCTCTTTCTCTGCCACCTTGTGAGCTCATTATACTGTATGCATGGATATGCAGGAATCGTTCTAATGCAAAATAAATGCGATATTTATCGTGCTTTAGTCCTGTGTCCAATTTTCTCCCAAATGCAAGTTTATTGCAATCCTGTAAATGCATAACTTTGGTCATTTTTCATAGTTTTAACCATCTTACCTAACCATTATCATAACAATGTACTCCCTAAAGCAATTTCTGATATCTCAGTAGACAGCCTCTCTAAAGTGAAGTTCAACGGGGGAAACACAAACTGTAAGATGAAGTAGTAGAAGAAGAAAAAGTGCATGTGAACAATTACAGCAAGTGAAGTATATTAAAGTTAAACAAGGAAGTGAGTCTCTAAACTGTGATGGATGTTAGGTTGTTGCTCCGATGTTATTGTTACCGATAGGCATGAAAGCCAAAAACTATGAAAATAAGATCCAAGTTGTAAATTACATAACCAAATGTCCACTCAAACTAATGTAGCGTGATACAGCAGAGGTGTTTCTCGTATTTATTCTAATTTGACTATAAATGGTTGGAGACAAAAATTTTAAAGTAGAATAAAGCAATACAATTCAACCAAACGTTGAATCAGCATCTCTCTTAAACAATTTCAACCAAAACGGAACATTATAACATTCATTAACGGGCCATTGTATAGGATTTGGTGGCATCTAGCGGTGAGCTTGTAAATTGCAACCAACTGAAACTTCTCCCGTGTGTGGAGAACTTCGGTGGCCAACAGGAAAGGAAAATTGGCCCTATTCAGTCTGCTCCCTATGAAGATATAAACGGGTCATTCTAAGGTAATGGATCACAACAATTCTTATTTTGAGGTGATTGTACACGAAAGAAAAATATTATATTCCATTTCTGCCAATAGATCCCCCTAAACGCTACACACTGGCCCTTTAAACTAGAACCTATTGCAGAGTTGTTGAATTAATCTAGGTGTACCTCACAAACTGGCAACTGTGTGTACTTAAAATGTTATTTTTGCCAGAACATGAACGCCTTTACATTTTTAAATCTTGTAGATATATATTTATGCCAAGGATCAACTATGACAGCTCCTATGAATCTGCATGAGTAATGTAATTGTATCCTAAATGAACAGAACAAATGAATATGATTCGAGTTGTAAGGTGTATCCCCAAAATTGCAACCTGTTTTAAGGATACATCTTGGTAGCGGATCGATACTCTTTATCGGTCTATATGCAGGTTTAGGTATTTTAAATCGTAATCAGGATGCAGAAAATGGCATCAGAACATCTCTAAGTATGATAAGGCTTTATGTTAGGCACCCCCCCCTCCTCCCCCCTGTCAGCCACATATGTGCTGTAGTTCACCACTGAAGCTATAAGGTTCTCTCTACAAACACATTCGAGGTTAACATATACTTTGGAAGGCACCAGTGTCCTTCTGCAGTACACAAGAGGCAGGGACTGTATAGCCTACTGTACGTGATTGCTTGCATGTGTGTTGCACTCTATGCGCGGGCAACCCGGTTAGTGGAACACAGACAAAGGCATCATGCATCACAGGGGAGGACGGCTCAACTACGCATTTGAAATCCACTTGGCTTACATAACGGCCGCTGACCATCATCCTCGAAGCGAAAAGCTGAAAGAGCCAGCTCCCAGCAGACTCCCTGCCCCCTTCTGTTTAATCCCAAGAGCTGTGTGTGGTAGGAAAGGACGGAATGGGTTGTGGATGAGCAAATGTAAAAATCCCAGGGATTTACCCTGCCCCAAAACAGAGTTATAGTGTAATCTGGGCCCAAAGATTTTTGAAGCCCAGGATGTACAACAATAAAGAAGAGAAAAGTCAGGTGTTACATGACTATTCACACTGATTTAGGCCCATCTTCTATAACCGATTCAACACCAAGAAAAGAGGATAGAATGTGTCCGTTACTGTGGCAAGTCCATATATCAAAGTACCAGGAGAGCATATCTTTCGAAAAGCACAACACAACAAAGCCCACAGTCTTCAATAAAGCTCTGCATTCTGGGACATTCTGACAGGAAAGATCTCTATTTCTTGAAAAATGTGGTTATAATGGACACTGGACACGTCAATACAGTATTTATTCACTAGACTCTAAGCCAAGTAAATGTCTCTCCTGGAGTGGTACTGTTGATCGATATAAAAAAAAATAAACGCACACACATCATAACACAAAACATATGTTCTCCATCAGCTATTCTCAACCACTGGGCCGGTGCCCACTGGTGAGCCTCATCTAGTGGGTCGCGGAGGTACTGCCAAATGGTTTGATTTAAATTAAAGAAATATTCGTTTTTGTAATTTAATTTGTAAATAGATTTTTAATCTAAATGTGCTCAAGAATTCACATAAATAAAAGATTGATGAATTTCAATGACCAGTTACATTTAAATATCACTAAGCCAATCGTAACACATCAAAAGGTAGGTCTGACTCATCTGATGTAGACTTGATGTAGACTGGGTATATAAGCTATAAGCGTTTACTTCCGGTGGCATTCTCCTCCCCGCCTGCTATTTATTCTGCAGGGTCACCAATGCTGCATCCTGGGCTTAGGGCCACCAAAGACAATTGTAAATGGTTTCGAGAAATACAAACAATGATTCAGTTTTTGAAAGGACAACGTGATGTGGGAGACAACCCTGCACAAGTAAAAGCTCCAAAGCATGAGGAAATATGACCCTTCAATTTAGATTCATAATGGCCAGCAGTGATTGAGGGTAAGCAGAATATGTATTTTGGTCATTACCACTGACAGTGGAATAACGCATATTCCACGTTTATTTTTTCTCCTATTGTTGTCATGTTGTGCGGTTTTTCAATGATTTTAACAATCAGAAGTGGGCCTTAAGTTACAAAAGGTTGAAAAACATGCGCTCTACATGTCTCTCATATTTTGCATAATATAAGCTCTCACCAAAACAGTCGACGAGAGGTCCCGGGTAACCAGGACATTGTTTTCGAAGTGGCAGGTTGCTGTTGAATTTTTCAATCATTTTCACTTCTTTGAGTGCAGCGAGCAAAATTCAGTTGAGCTTCAAAAGTCTCAGCGGCAGGTATCTCAAAACTTCAGCAAATAGAGACGAAAAATGCACTCTTCATTACTGCGTTACACAAGAGTAAGTGGGGAAATGTGTTCATATGAGCTTCTTGAGTCACTCTCGACATATTTTAAAATTTTTCTTGCTGGCCACAGGGGGCGAGTCTCCAGACACGAACACCTCTTTTCACATTACTTATGTACTTCAGCAACCTAATGACATCTGAGCAAGTCCTGTTTGAAGAAGGCCATTGGATGCGGTCGTTTAAAAAAAATAAAAAATAAAAACGAATTTTAATGCTTATTCTTTTACTGTCGCCTCTTTTTTTTTTTACTTAACAGCTGTCTTTCAATGATGAGCCTCTTTATTTGTAACATTATTTTAACTGACCTGTCACGGCCAGGCCGTGCCTCCTGCTTGTCCTGTGTGTGTGTGTGTGTGTGTGTGTGTGTGTCGTATGGGCAGGGCTCCGACCTGGTCTCCTCCCGGCTTCCTGATTACAATTCACCTCACCTGCCCAGTCAAACCAGCTGCACTCCATCAACTCATCAACTCAACAGTATATCTACCCCGGTTCTTCATCCACTCAGATTGTTGTTTCAGCTCACGTGGTAGTTAGTTGTTCTTGGCCGTGCTGTTTGAGAATAATTCAGAGTTTTTCTCCCCAGTGTTTTTTCATTGAATTGACCCTGTCTCCCTGTTCCCGCAGTTTTGTCATCCTCCTGGTTCCACAGTCTGCCTGCCCTGCCCTATCTCCTCCTGCCTGGATTCCACCCTCACTCTCCCTGGATTTTCCCGCTGTGCTCCGGTTGTTTCCCCCCTTGGTTTCCTGGACAATAAACCTTTACACCTATACTCCCTGGTCTCTGCCTGCATTTGGGTCCACATTCACACCCCGTGACATGCCCCTTTGATATTTTTACTTTGAACCTTTGAACATCCTTCACTTGAACAAAGCTCGATGGATGCAGGATGTAAAAAAAAATGTTTTCAGGGTGTCAGTACTCAATTTAATATATATATATGTATGTACACACACAGTGGGTTTATTTTTCTAATTATCCTGCTACAGAATCTGCAGTATTCTCCTGTCACTGCAAGCAGCAACTTTTACATTACACACTAATTGAATCTATTGTTAATGTAAAAATATTGATTGGTGCAGCTTTAGGGAATTTAACCTCAAAAAGGAAAAAAGAAGAAAAAAAAATCCAATAGACCGTAAAAGAGGTTGTGTATCTAATACATTTAGTTTACCCTGGTGCGGCTGTGTCTTTGATGTTTGTTTTGGCATGGCTTTGAGTCCCAATTAAAGATTTTTTAAGAACAAAGAAATTGTTAAGATTCTGGATATGGCAGGTCTGTCCTCCCATTTTTCCCCTCACAGAGACATAATCTACAGAGGAGTCAGTGCTGCCACCTGGGCCCCGTGAAAGGGCCCCGAGCTGTTGCCGCCTGGTATAGGAAAACATTTTGAGAAAGACATCATAAATATCTCACCACCAGTGGAGTTACTTATGAGGTGAGATGTCAAAGATATGTGATGAAGAGAGGCAGTTCAACAAAACAATGCTAGGCATTTTCATACTGCACTCCCACACTAACCTCTACATTTGTGCTAAATTGAATGCAATCTTTTTTAGGATGTCTAGCAGCATGACAATGAGCCACTTGTCAGAAGTATGTCTTCTTTAAAAAAATGTCATGAAACCATTTCCATTTGTTTTTGCTACTCTGCAGTATATTTATTTCATTCTTTCCGCCAAGAGCAGCTGCTTCGCTTCTCGCCTCGTTCAGCTATTCTCTCTTGCAGGTTTTTTCTTACTTTCTCCAGCTGTCATCCAATAATGGAAGTTGTTTTCACATACCTTTTACCACATTTCCCATTGAGAGGAAAATACAGACAGAAAAGAAAAAAAAGCGAGCAACAATGCACGCAGAAGATGCTCCTAGTTTGTATCATTAATAAGGTTTCAGAATGTATCGGATACAGTTGACAAAAGTTATCTATAGCAATAATAATGTTCCAAAATGATGGAAATTGCATCGGTTAAAGTCAATATCTCCGAGTATATTTTAATTGAGTTTTGTAAACTTAGTTTCGGGAACAAGGACCATGCCCAGAACACAGCTCATTTCCTCCGCACAAAGTAGTTAAGTACAACAAACTTGTTCACTTCCTCAGAGCTTCTGAAGA